CTAACATCTACAACCACAAAACATCAATTTCACAGATTTCAGAACATTTAAGTCGTGAACTGGCAAAATATGATCAAATACAGCACATCTGCTTGTCTTCAGACCATCTGGCTTGAAGCAGAAACTTAACTGGCTCGTGTTAGAAAAGGGGTTTTACAAAACTATGTTACAGCTGTGTGGGCGACAGGAGCTTTTTTCCTGCTGAGATCCGCCAAAACCCCAAAAACTTTAAGCCCTGCTCAGTCTGAGACTGTGTAAATCGTTTGGTGTAAGCCCAGCATAAGTAGGCTATATATTGTGTACGATTTTATCATGCGATAGATTTATATGAATATGCTCACCCCAGACAGAAAGTGTAGCTCTGAACAGCGAACTCGCTCTCTCTCTCTCGTTGGCGTTGACAGGCAGCTGTCACACGCGATTTTAATTGATTTTATTCTAGTCTACTCTCACTTTTTCACCTTTCTGATCTTAACTTCGAGTACAATATCCTCCTTATTTATGGGTCAAACTGAAAACCACCAACACTGACTGACGTGCCGAACCTCACTCGCTATGACCGGTGAAGTGGCAAGCTCATTAAGCTAACGCTAGCTAGCCACCTACCCAAAGTTTCATAAGTCGCTGTTATCCAGAAAGTTAGCCTACGCCGAACTGTGACGAGCTACCAAATGTAAAGTAATGTGAAATGTCATGTGAAATGAAAAACACTTTACTTATCCCAAAGGGAAATTCAATAAATATCAAATCATCTGTATTTTATTCGAACTCAACGTACCTGCATGTTGTGGTAACACAGCCGTCGGTGTTCCTTCAGCACACTGACATGTGGGAAGCAGCAGAAATGATGAGAGGCGGGATCGGCAAAATGTTTCCTACAGACCCTCCACGGATCTAAAACTCTCCCAAAGTCGTGTGCAGCAGTAGAAAAGATGAGGAAAGGCGGGATCGGCAAAATCGTTCCATACAGCCCTTCTGCCAATCTTAAACCGACTTGCTTTATTGGCTTGCAAGGGCGAAAAAAAACATCCGACACTTTGCCGCTGGTGCCCTCCAATGGCCGACGTTGGTAAGACGGAGGGTGTTGTCTGGGATGTTTCTGTCTTAATTAAAATGAAGGATAACACCTACAAATATTGAAATGAGATGAAATGGTGAAAAAACACGTCTTTAGCCACAGTCACACCTACACTGGCCTTCCAGTTGCTGAATTAAACTCGGAGGGGCAGAGGATAGAAAAAAAATTCGAACTAACTGAAAATCATCTCCACAGATAAACAAGTTTAAAAGTAAAAAAGCGGATTGGAAAACGATAGCATCAACATATTGCCAGCAGGCTATGATGAAACGCCACTGCTTGGTCAGTTCAGTGCAAATAAAGCCAGTGATGAGGTATCACTAGGCTGGACGTTGAGTGTCTTGGTTGCCTCTCTCACTAGCTAGCTGCCCTCTGAAGCAACCCATGACAGACTCAAGTCACCTGCTTGGCACAAGCTGAAGGACCTTTATACAGGTCCAGTCCTGAACTCCATGCTAAACGCTAGGCACTAAACCCTCTCAGCCTAAACTAAGCATTAACATTGGAAATGGGCCGCTCACTCATTTGGTCCCTCATACAGAATGTACATGTGTTCATACAAAAGTTAATGTAATGACATAATGAAACTTAACCTGCAGAAATCAAGTCATTTAGCTTGTTAGTATGTACCTTAACATTTTGTCAAAATGTTTTTAAAGTACTCCAGGTCACTGTAGAAAGCTGGACTTAGACAGAAAAGTCAGGCCGGGGGGGATCTTTAGCATTTTCTTGTTTGAAACCTGCCAACAAGTTTGTACATAAGGGACAAAGTGTGTTTCGTGTTTTTAGACTTTTTCTGACTTTTGTGTTTGAAGTGAGACACACCAAAGTGTGTTGGGCTCAGTTTTTGAGAGCAGTAATCTTGATGCATGTATCTCCATTCCCCAAGTAAACTCACCTCACCAACCCTATGCCACTACTATCGATACCTCCTCCCCTGTCTCCAAGTCTTTCTCCTTCCCAGGCTTACTGTGTTGGACAAATGTGACAGAGCTAAAAATACATCTCTGAACTCAGCGTTGGTAAGGCAGCAGGGACCAGGGCTTGTCAGCAGGAAGGGAAGTGGAGGAGGAGGGAGGAGGAGAGGGGGAGGAAGAGGTGGGAGTAGGGGAGGTGGAAACCTGCCTTTCTGTCTGGCACAGATAAAGACAGTGTATCTTCTTTGCCACTATCCCTATCAAGTGGCCTAGCCCTGTGTCCCAGATGCTCAAACACGCTCCTTTACCCTTTATTTCCACTCCTATTTGCTGTTGTTCCAAAGGTTTCATTAAAACAATGTATCAAATATATTCATCCATCCATCATCTATACACCGCTTAATCCTCACTAGGGTCACAGGGGGCTGGAGTCTATCCCAGCCGACTTAGGGTGAAGGCAGGGGATACCCTGGACAGGTCACCAGTCTATCACAGGGCTACACTTAGAGACAGACAACCAAGCACACGCACACTCACATTCACACAGATTGTTAACCCAAAAGGACGATAAAGGTACTTAATATTTAAAATTTCCAGCATCACATTATTAGGATAAGGTTGACTGATTGAGACAAAGAGTCGAGCTTTCTTGCAATCAAATGCACAATACAGTACCTGCTGGAGAATTTTGGTTTGAAGATGTGATGTCAAAACATTGATTATACTATCTATGATACCCAATACTGAAAGAAATATGATTGTTGCGTAAAATATTAGTAAATTGTTTTCCACTTTACACTGCGATTACATGGCTTTTTCCACCTGGAACCATGACAGGAGGTCAAACTTTGCCTTATTTTTCAAAGATGCTGCAGCCCAGTCATCCAGCTGTAATGATTTGGCCCTTGTTAGAGTTGGTGTCCAACTGTTTACTTACTGTCTAATACAGTGCAGTGAAAAAGTATTTGCCCCCTTCTCACCAACTTTTTTTTTTTTTTTGCACATTTTCCCCACTTTCATGTTTAAGATCATCAAACAAATGTAAATATCAGACAAAAATAACCCAAGTAAACACAGAATTGTTATCATGTAACATTGTGATAATGTTTTATAGAGGAACATTCTATGATCGCTTATCTCAACAACATGCCCAAAACATCTTTAGAAGATTGCACCTAAAACGTTCTATCTTTGTTAATATAAAGCAATACAGGAACATTATTTGAAATACAAATGTTATTATAATATTCTTTCAACATTACATTGAAATGTTGTTGTTTTTTTTTAACTTTAAGAGAACCTATAGCGAATGTTAGCCAAAGTTGTGGGAACATTCACTGCTAGCTGGGTAACTGCTCGAAGCACTTCATCACAGTGGGGGTCAGTGCTGTTGATTGGTCGTCATTTAGGCAAATGACAGTCGGCTTCTTGGGCACGGGGATGACAGTGGTTCCTTTAAGGCTGGCAGGGACCACAGTCTGGTCTAGAGAGATGTTAAATATGTCTGTGAAGGCACCCCTATAGCTCACCTAGTTGAGCGGGCAACCCATAAACAGGGGCTATAGTTCCCCATCACAGTGGTCGTGGGTTCAACACCCTTTGCTGCAGGTTTCTCCTCATTCTTCTCCCTCCTTTCCTGTCTATCTCTGCAGCTATAAATAAAGACAAAACGCCCAAAAAATATCTTTAAAAAAAAAAAAAACCTGTGAAGACTGCTGCCAGCTGATCAGCACAGTCTCTAAACACACGCCCTGGTATGTTGTCTGGGCCAAGGTCCTCCTCACATCAGCTGGGTCCAGGTCAAGTGCCTGTTTGAGGGGTCTTCTGGGCAGGTATGTGGTTGTTAGCCTTGAACAAAGAAGTGGTTCAGTCTGTCAGGAAGGCTGGTGTCACTGTCTGTGGTCACTGAAGAGGTTTTGTAGTCTGTCAGGGCCTGGATCCCCTGTCACGTGCATCTGGTGTCTCTGGTATCAAAATTGATTTTCTGCCTTCTGTGCAGACTGTTGCTTGGCTCTCCTGATAGCCTTGGAGAGCTCTGGCTGAGCTGCTCTGAGCGCTGTTCCATCTCCAGAATGAAAGGTTGTATCCCTCACTCTCAGACATGCACGAACCTCAGCTGACACCCATGGTTTGTGATTGGAACATGTGGATTGGGTTTTGGTGACTGTGACATCCTCACTTCTCTATGTACCCTGTCACAGTGTCTGTACATTCCTCCACACACGTGTTGGTTGTAGGCTGCTGCCTCCCTGAAGACGGCCCAGTCTGTGCACTCCAAGCAGTCCTGAAGAGCTTCAGTAGCTCATGCTGGCCAGATTCTGATGGTTCTTTGTGCTGGCCTGGAACTTTTCTACAGTGGTGTGTATGCAGGGAGGAGCAACACGAATGTGTGGTCTAAACTGCCTTACTGGGGTTGTGGGATTGCCCTGTATGTCTTCTGTACGTTTGTGTACACTAAATCCAGCATGCTGTTTTCCCTTGTGGCAAAGTTCACACACTGGTAAAGTTTAGGTAAGACAGTCTTAATGTTTACATGGTTGAAGTCACCAAGGATGATAAAAACACCATCTGGGTGAGCTGTCTGTTGTTCGCTAACAGCGGTGTAGAGCTCACGTAGTGCCTCATTGTTATTAACACCAGGCGGGATGTAGACAGCTATCACAATGATGGCAGAGAACTCCCTTGGCAAATAGTACGGTCGTCATTTCGCCATCATGTACTCCAGATGCCATGAACAGTGTGTGGCTGCTACCATAGAGTTAATGCACCAGTTAGTGTTCATGTAAACACACAGCCCGCCACCACGGGTCTTACCGGAGGTTACTGAGTCTCTGTCTGTTCGGAATGGCATTAGCCCCGGTAGCTGGACAGCCGTGTCTGGGATGCTGAACTGCAGCCAGGTTTCTGTTAAAACTAGGACACAGCAGTTCCAGACTGGGTGGCCAGCTGTAGTTTCAGGTGATCCAGTTTCTTTTCCATGGAACAAACATTTGCTAGTAGAAGCGATGGTAGAGTTGGTCGAGCTGGGTCAGCTCTTAGCCTGTTACGGATACCCGCCCGCTTGCCCGCTTTCAGCTGGGGTAAGAGGGCCGAGATGGTGGGAGACTGTATCCATAGCAGTCCCACGGCACACAACATCTCTTTCAGATGTGCTGATACACCCAATCCACCCGTTGTTCCTCTGTTTTTGGAATATGTTGAGGAGGTCATCAAGTTCATAGCTTAGCCAAAACAGGCGGCTTGAACGAGCATTTACACAGCATACAGCACTGCTACTGTGGAGAGTTCTCTTCATTTGTGAATAATGGCTCTCACCGTGGTTCACTGGAGTCCTAGTATTTTAGAAATGGCTTTGTAACCCTTTCCATACTGATGAATGTCACTTACTTTATTTCTCATCTGTTCTTGAATTTCTTTGGATCGTGGCATTTTGTTGCAGCTTTTTGAGTGAAATTAAACTCAGTTTTCAAAAAAATGTGATTAGCCACAGTTAATTCATGATTTAACAAGGGGGGCAGTTACTATTTCACACAGGGCCAGGTAGGTTTGGATAGCTTTTTTCCCTTACAACATGAAATCATCATTTCATTTGGTTGATGGTCTTAAACATCTAAGTGGAGGAAATATTGAAAAAAATAAGAATTCGAGAAGAGGGCAAATACTTTTTCACGGCACTGTACATTTGTGACTGTGACGTGCCATTGATAAGACAAGCAGCATTCCTCTTTACGGTTTATACAGTTATGTTTGTCTGCCATGTAGACAACAAAAGCACTTTGTTAAAGGTTACAGAAATTTTATGATCATGATTAAATTCAAATAGTGTTTCAAGTTACTGAAAATTTTCTGTATTCAACCAGATGAGACTGTCCTAATCTTACCAAAGTCCTGATGGTGTCCAAACATAATCATAAAGCGCTTGCATGTTGATTTGTGATATTTTGGTGAAAAAAACATCCTTTGATTGACAAAAGCTTATGGAAATGTTTAATATTTATGACTTTTTTATGATTTTTAGAAGACAGGGTTGAATTAAGTTCAGTTATGTTGAAGGAACCTAAAGGCTCTGAAACTGTCTTGGATCTGCTCACTGGAATTTGCAAGGAACAAAACAGTGCTGTGTAGATCATGTTGTCTTGACTGGAACATTTTGTCCTACCCTCTCTCACACAGAAAAAGAAACTTTCCTGGAGCCATTTGTGCTGAAGGACCTGCTGCCATCCTCACTGGGAAGTTACTATCGATACACCGGCTCTCTGACCACTCCGCCTTGCAGTAAGGTGGTGGAATGGATCGTCTTCAGCAGGCCTATATATGTCTCCTACAAACAGGTAAGGAACAAAAAGACAAACAGGACACAAAGTGGAGGTCATGTGTATGGGTTGTTTTGGTAGGAATGTAGAACTTCAGTGCAGCCAGATTTCAGACCTATCAAAACTTGTATCAGAATTTGGCATAGGCAGTACTCAAATGTAAGTGGCCCACTTTTATCTTGTCTGAAAAAAATGTATCATGCAGCCATAAAAATAACATTTTAGACTTTCTTTTTGTCACTTTTTTATTCGGCCAGTAAAGTCAAGACAGTTCACTTGAGTGAAAAACTCAAATTTGAATGTGGAGTTACAAAAGTTGAAGTAATAATTAATTCACAAGTGAATTTATTGATTGTGGCAGTTTCACTTTACTTGATTTGAATTGTGGTATGGCTTTTATGGCCCTTAGTGATACCCCAGCAATAAAAAAAGAAAGGAAAAAATACACTAATTCTATTAAAGTTAAAAATGTCCAAATTCAGTGAGACACCAAATTACCAAATTCTCAGAGTAGGTTAGATGACTAAATGGATTGTAGGTTATACATTTTCTCTAAATTGCAACACAGCAGTGCCCAACATACAATAACCTCCCACAAATGTAGTAAAATATAATAATGGTAAAGGAACTGGAAGATCTGGAAATGATTGGCATGGTGGACCACTGCATATAAAGTATTGATAATCAAGAGAAGACATGATCATAAAAATAGTCACAAATTAAAGTGCACCACAGAACTATTGATCATGTATCATTACTGGCACACCAACTTTAATTCCAGTCAGCTCTCTATCCATACTCATGGTAATTCCCAGATGCTACAGTATACACTCTACAACTTCTTTCATATAATAATAATAATTCACATAGGACTATATGTGAATGAGAAATAAACGTTCCTTTGTTGTTTATATTCTTTAACAGGTGTTAAAAATATTTCATAAACATAATGTAACTTTTTGACAGTGAGGGGTGATGTAATGTTACTATTGTCAGCCGTTTACTTACACATAGGAAATTGTTGGGAAGGAACAGTGCTCGTCATGATGAGTGACATCACCTTACTTACTTGCCTTTCACAGCTCATTAAAGATACAAGTATGGTGGTACTCCATCAGTTTGGTGATGGAGAAAATGTCATGAAGTGAGTCTACCACAAAAACAGCACAATCACCTTAAGTTACTGTAATGTATGCTATTTTGGGGAAAAGCAAACTATTTTCACAACTGTTATTTTCATAGTTTTAGAATTAGAATCACTGGTGATCAATTGAAAATGCACACATGAAGCAAATAATGGGAATAATTTTGTAAAAACACATCAAGCAGTGGTTTATATTTCACTGTGAGTGAAGAGTAGTCGTCATCTTGTTGGATGTGAATGAAAGATATAAGTTACTTTGAAGAGGGCCAAATCAATTTTTTCTAATGACTGGGGGCAGAAATTTCCAAAGTGGCAATGCTTGTGGGGTTCTTATGAGAAGAACACTCTGCAGTGCCTGTTTGATTCTTAACCAAACATAAAAACTAAAACTACAAGTGCCTGATGCAAAAAGAAAAAGACACACATTTTTCTGGTGCAAGATTGACGACCAGTCTTGCCTGGATTACTTTATTTTAAATCTAATACATTAAAATCTATATTTTTTAAATAAATAAAAATGAAAACCCTTACACTCTCACATTGGTGTAGATTCAGAACCAGCTGTAGTTGCACATATGAGCAACTGTTGACACTGATTTTGCATCGGAAATAATCAGAGATATTAGATAAATGTTATTACAAACAAAACAGTATCAAGAATCTCAGGAAAATGTCTTTATCGCTCATCCTATTTACCCAGTCTGGTGAGCGCTTGGCAGATTTGTCCCTGAATGAGACCAAGTAAGTTTGCTCAAGAGCAGCAGTGGAGCGAGCCAAATGTGGATAAGGTATTGGCTTCTATGTCTTGAAGTTAGAGGAGCAGGTCAATGTAAAGCAGGCAGTAAAGAGACATTACAAAGACGGATGAGATGGAGAAAGAATGATGAACAGCGCAGTTGAGACATAGAGAAGAAAAGCCAAGAAGAACAAGAATCTTCTTTCAGCAAACCCCTGATGACCAGCTAACAACATGGATGAAACCACAGCAAAAATTCAGTGACTCCCGCACTGTCTTATGCAGACATACACATATCAATTGCCCCCAGTACTTTAGTGCAATTCGCTTTCTGCCAAAACTAAAGTAATGTATTTAAGAGGGAAAACTTATGTGCAGAATGTCTCAGCTCTAGTGGATGAAACAATTTTAAAGACTGCTCCCAGTTTGAGTGAAACTCTAGCAACAATAATAGGATGGCATACATCAATACAGTGCCTGCACAACCACCATTAACATCATCCCTCTTCTTTACTAAGTTTTATTGGACAGACCTATCAGTAAAACAGACTGTCAAATTAATTTGCCAAAGCCTGAAGCTCATCACCATTTTTACAGTTATGTATTTTTATTGTGCATTTGATTGCATGGTTGCATTCTAATCCTCCATTGATGGTGTAACTCAGGTGGTTATTTAATATGTTACTGTAACATTAGCAATGTAACACCATGACAGGTTAAAGCTGAAAATGATAGTCCCCTGTAGCTCGTCAACAGTGAAACAAAGTTGAAAAATGTTTTCAACAATGTGCAGGGATCAGCTTAAACCTGTGTTTGTAAACTTAATTTCTCATCTGAACAGCCAATCTTCATATTGTGCCATTGTCTTTATTTGATATTTCTTGGCCTTGGCATCTAGTCTCTCCTCACTCATTATTCTACATTCAGTCTACATTCTACTTTTCCAGACTTCTGCCTTCTGCAGCTTTACCACCAAGAAAATATCTATTAAGCCAAACAGGATTTCAATCTATCTAATATCAGATATGACAGATACAGTAGCTTTAACACTCACTTGGTAGCTTCCATACATTCAGTATTTGTCAGCACAATCATGGCACCACAAACACACAGTCTATGCACAGAGTTAGTGTTACATCTATTATAACCTAATGCCTGTCGAGACTTCAGCCACAATCAAAGTAACAGTAGATCTTTATCTCAGCAACAGCCAGTTATAGCCTAATAACTAATTTTGAGTTTGAGTAAATTACTGTTCAAACATTATAAATAAAGTCTTTCTCTCCATCTAGTTAATCATCAAAATAAAAGCAGAACAGGCTTGAAATACAAACTTGAACTTTTTGAAATAAACTACAATGAGAATGTAACTTTTTCATGATATTCTTGTTTTGTTTTGTTTTAATAGCTGCACCTGTATATGGACACAGGATGATTTTACAACACCTGCAGTACTTTAGAAAGAAGAACATTCCAATAGGACACAACAAAAGTTTTCAATGAGTAATAAGATGAAACGGAACATCTGAACTGAATGAAATTTTCTTTAAAATACTGAAGACTAGCAGACTTTATTGAAGCTGGTCACCAACAGTACCTCATTCCATTACCAAGTCTGTCTCAACTTGTACAAAAGCCTTTTTTGAAGTCCTCTTGTTTCCCCTCTTCTTTTGCTCGACTCTCCAGAGAAAACTTGATGGAGAAAGCAGGAGGTTAGAAAGAAAATGCTGATGGTGACTGAAGTTGTCTTTTTTTCCCCCTCTTCCTATTTTATTCCTCTCTCTTTTCTCTGCTGGCCTTTTGTTTCGGGTTATACTTGAAGTAGGTCAGCAGGACTGACAGCCATTTCTTTGGGCCTGCTTTTAGAGTGGATCGATGCTCAGGCTCTGACACAATAAGTCACTAAAAATGCCTTCATTTCAAATGGACAGAAGGACTTGCCAAACATGTATGCTTGATGTGTGTGTGTGAGAATGTGAGTGTGTTCTGATATATATATTCAAAAGTGATCAGAATTTAATAACTCTCTTTACTATTCAGCTTTAAAATATTACTCTGAGAAGACCAGGCATGGACACAATGTGTTACCTGGAATATTGTGATTAATACATCAATTCTTTAGTTTTTATATTGTTAGTGAAGAGGTATGAACAGTATGGTTGACACTTTAGTTCCTAGAACTCTTGAACAAAAAAATCGAAAATAATGCTTCCTGTACACAACGTAAGGATACATATACAGGTAATCCAGAGAGGGAAGTCCTTACCGAGGACACATTGCATAGACATTTGACACTAATTGGAAATTGTCTTTATATGAGTCCAAACCATATCCTACAATGAACTTCCATCATCCATGTCTCCTTTCAAACTATTGAGCATACACTCATATGATGCTGTTGCCACCATTACATCTGTCCATTTGGAACTTTGTTTTTTTTATTGTCTTAAGATGATTCTTGAGGCTGTAAGTATAACTGCAACTGAAAGGCACATTTTAAGACACTGGGCAGCTGTGATCTGTCCCTCAGCAGACACAGGCTGGGAGTCAGAGCAGCTGTTGAACAGTATCATTTACTCAGCATTACCAGCACGTTAACACAGATTGATTGGATCGGGGAACATTCCCCATATACAGTGTTGAAGGATTTCTGTCACTGTTCGCATTTCCAGCATACATTTCACTCTGTTTTACCTTAATGTATGGCAATTTGTATGTAATATTGTATATTGACAAACTTCCTCTTACTTCTTGACATTCTTTCCACACTCCATGTCACAGCAAATACTAAGACCCCAGCACAGACAGATAAGACATGTCACACAAATATAGTCAAACAATTTATTAGAACTGAACATGCCACTTACAAATACTACAGGGGTTTATAAGAATGAACTACAAACGGGCTACAGGGTTAAACACTTGAATAAAGAAAACAGAAATAGTTAGCTAATAAAACAATACAAAGATTACAAAAAATCTCATCTTACATCCCAAAAGTCACATAGGTCAGACAGTTTTTTTGTTTTGTTTCTTCCATTTAAGCACATTTAATTCTTGACTAACCGGAGCCTAGTACCACAGGGCTTGGAAAGTTAATGGTGCTGGCAGACGAGAACAAACCAAGTGCACACAGCA